TTCACCCAGGACCCCCCACCACATCAGTGGCCAGGTCTCTGTGGATCCCTGCGGGCTGTGGTGGTTTCTCCCACATCCCCTGTTTGTGGGCGCCTTGCCAGCTTTGAGGAGCACCACTCAGGTGTTTTGTAGAAGGTCCCTCAACTTGGACTTGAGTGATGTTTTTCTTATGGTTAGACTGGGGGTGTGGGTTTTCCGGAGAAAGACCACCGAGGTGCGGTGTCGCTATCATCACATCACATCAAAGGGTCACACCATGAACTCGACTTACCGACTTACCGTGGCTGAGTTGACTCACCGAGACCGCGCCCCTCAGGTTTCAGTGTCCGCCAGGCTTCTCCACTGCGAGGCCACGCCCCCGGGCTCTCCAGGCTGCGCTCTGGGGAAGGAGTGTGGTGGGAAGCCCACACGAAAGGAGTGGGGAGTCATGCGCCATCTCCTTGGGGGTGGACGATCTACATAAATTATGGATTGATTTGAAATTCTGCTGCACAGAATGCTTTGACTTTTTAGTCATGTATTACCAAATTTTGAAAAATTAAAAAATAAATCTGTTCTTTGAATAGAGAGAAACACACATGCGCACACACACAGCAGATGGTGTGTGGTACCTCGGGAGTGTCCTGAAGGTGACCCTGGGGGACCAGAATGGGTCGAGGCTAGCTTTGTCATTTCCCACCTGTGTGATCCCTTGGAAGGCACTTAATTTTCTCCTAACCTCTCACCTGTTGAATGGAGGGCCCTGGCTGTCACTGAGCTGCCTCGTGGCCTCTGGGGTGGGGCTGGCATTCTTGCCTCCCCATCACAGCTGCAATCAAAGCACGCGAAGGCAGCTCTGGCACTGGGCATGGCAGGCGCGGGAGGAAACTGCGTACAGGAAAGAAACTGTGTCTACAGGCTCTGAACAGCTTAGTGGTTGTGCACTTCCATCCAGCAGTTGGCCCATGACCTTGGGGAAGTTATCGCTCCTTTCTGAACCGCAGGGCTCCTGTGTAGAATGGGGGTAATAGTAACATGTCACCAGGGCTGTTGTGAGAATTCAGTGAAATAATGAAGCACTTTGCACTGTGCCTGGCCTGATTAATATCATCATCGCTCTGTTTAATCCTCACAACATTTGTTCTGTTATAGTTGAGGAAACTGAGGCTATGGAGGTGGAGCGACTTGCTTAAGGGCATCAGCTGGGAAGTGGCCAAGTGGCCCCTGGAGTTCAAGTCCTGTACTCTAAAGCTGGTGTCGTTGCCACTGTGGCACGTGGTCTCTACGTACAGCCCAGGTGCTGCTGGTTTTCTGAGCTGCTCCCTCCTGCCTCTAATCGGCTGGAGTTTTATAGCGGTCCAGGGGAGGCCACAGCACCCTCAGGGCCAGAGAGGTAACCTTCTGTGGCACGCTCTCTCCTGGCTGGCAAAGGGTGGGCTTTGGCCAGGAGACTGGCCTGGCAGTAATGCCTGGGCCCCAGGCTGGACAACATTTTCCTCTCTGCCTTGGAGAACACGCACCCCTCCATCCCCGGCCATCTGCAGGGTGGCTAGTGGCCCAGGCCTGCAGTGCCGCCTTTCCTCCTCCCCGGCCCAGCCGTCTCCCTCTAATCATCGAAGAGCTCTTGACAGCCTTGCAGGCTCCCAGAGAGGAAGGAGGCCTACGTGGGCTGCTCGGTCTGTGCTGTCCGAAGTCAGCCTCTCTGCTAACACCCAGCTTCTCCTCACCCCCAGCCCAACTCCTGAGGCCACCCAGCCAAGTTCTTGTCAGCAGAGGCCAAGGAAGCCAGGAGGAGGGCCCTGGCTGTGCAGCACACAGGCCACAGCGAGGCTGCCCTGCTGCCGTCAACAGATCTGGGTTTGAACCCTGGCACTGCCCTTTACCGTCTTTGCCATCAAGGACCTCTGTGTATAATTCCCAGGGTTTTTGTGTGAACAAAACACTGAGAGGTATGCGGAGCATTGAGCGCCGCCTGGCTCGGTGCCCAGGAGCTTTTGTTACTGTGCTAGAGGCAGGGTGAGGAAATGCCAAGGGGACAGTTCTGTGGAGGAGGCCAGCAGATGTGTCCTTGGAGCCCCTTGGCCTCCTCTGTGATTCTAGGGCTCTGTTCTGGTGGCCCCTGAAACTAAAACACATACTTATCCGAGACACCCAGGGCCTGCAAACTCGGCCCCCCAGCCCCGGGCCCTATCTCAGCCCATTCCCGTCACCGCAGCTCCGACGGCTGCCACCTTGCTCCCTATGTGTGTGTGTGTGTGTGTGTGTGTATGTGTCCACCTCTGCTCTGGAGACTGGGGGCTCCTGCAGAAGGGACAGCAGGGGTGGCTGTCCTGACACCTACTGGGGTGTTCGCCAGGCCTGTGGGGACTCCTTGGGGACCCTCTCCTCACTCCTGTGTGGGCAGAGACCACATCTGTCTCCTAACCCCTGGCTCAGGGCCCTGCCTATTTAAATGTGTATGGAAAAGAACTGAATTTAGGCCCCACCCAGGTCCCAGCTGCTTAGCGGGGCCTTTGTCATCTCCTTCCTCCTCCCAGGGGCTGCCCTGGCTCCAGGAGTGGCAGTGTCCCCAGTTCTCCCAGGAAACCCCCGGTGGGCCAAGAGTAGGCAAGGGAGCACACGTTCATGGAGAGGACAGGGGCAGGTAGGGACTCACTGGTTTGTGTCCCCTTTCCCCCAGTTTTCCCCAAACTGGGGCGTCTAGACAGGATTCCTATGCCCCAGGAGCCTTACCTCCCACATGGGTGAAAACCCCAGGCGTCTCCCACCACACCAGCCAACAGGCCAGCGCGCCCTCTCCGCACTTTCCCCTCAGCCCCCGCTTCCCTGTCACCCTACCCCTCACACTGGTCTCGCAGGACTCCCCGTCGGGTCTCGGCCAGCTTGGCTGAGAAACGCATCTGGCCTGGGTTCATGCAGAGATTCAGAACTGCTCACTTTCCTCCTTCTCCTCAGAGGGACCGTGCCTTTTCGTGGCTAAGGAAGATACCAAATCTGAAGGGAGGACTTGAGGGCAAGGCTCGGGGTTGGATGGACTCTGGAACTTCGACCACAGTCACACAGGCAGTGTCACAGGTAGACACACAGCCAGCCAGGGTCCCGCCCGCACCGTTGAGCTCAGAGGCACAGAAGTGCACACAGACCAGGTGTGGACCTCTGGTCGCACCCAGAGGCCATCCTCAGAAGCTCACACAAACCATCCCGCAGGCACGCAGACACATAGGCCCACAGACAAAGAAAAACTGAAGACAGGGCCCCCCGTGTCTCCTGGGCTCCTGGCCTGTCCCCTCTCTCTGTCCCCCCAGACCCCAGCATGTTGCGCTCCCCTGGCCATCCAGCTCCTGCATCGCCTGTGTGACTCTGGCATCTGCCCACCCGTCTGCAGGGGAGCCAGTCGGCAGAGGGAGGGCCAAGCCTCGCCCTTCGCTCCTCCTTTCAGACCCAGGTGTCTGCCGTAGCGGTGAAAAGTCATGGTCCCTCTGAGGAGAAGGAGAGAGGTGAGTGGGTTGAAACCTAAATCCTGCTTTGTGGCTATTTTCCTCAGACCAGCCTTGGATACGCCCTTGACCTGTCTCCCACATCCACACCAGTGAGTCACCTCGGGGGAATGAGTCTCCGAGGTTTGTGGACAAGGGACTCCTGCAGACAGGAGCTGGCGGAAGGTCCTCAGCACGAGGCCCCCTGGTGCCGGGAAGGGCAGAGCCTGGGCACGGATGCTGGAGGGGTAGGAAGGGGCAGGATTTATGGCATTTCCCCTCTAGCTGGAAACAAAGGCAGATTCCTGTGTCCAGCTCCGGCAATCTGGTCCCACCCACTTGAGTGGCTGGAGCTGAAGGAAGTCCCGCTGGCCTCTGGCCTCGTCCAGACACTCTGACCCTCAGTCAAACAATCTGCCCCCCGGCGGGGTCCTTACCTACTCTCAAATCCTGGGAACCTAATCCTTGTCCAAATACCAAGCCCTCCCCACTGGGGATAATCCCCTTCCCCCCTCAGGCTCCATCCCCAAGCAGCAGTGGTCTCCTCAGCAGTACCCAAGGGCCTGCCAGGCCCCCACCCCTTGCCCCACCCTCAACCCAGCAAACTCAGGCCCTGCTTTTCTTCAGAGTGAGCGAAAGTCTTGGTGCCTCTAGGAATTCCTGTGCCTCCAGAATGCTTGGCCCAGCCCCTCAGGCATCCCCACTGTCCTCGGGGCATGGTTCACCTGAGCTAACAGACTGACACATCTTCCTCTTCTGCAGCAACACTGCAGCTCTAGGGAAGGGTGGGGCATCACCACCCTTAGTTAGTGAGAGTCAAGGGTTACTGTGTGATGCCAGCAAAGCAGGAATTAAAGGGGCATTATTTACATTTACAAAGTGACAATCAATAATTAGAAGGTAGAGAATCTATGTGATCCAAGTTCGGAAGATTTTGAATCTGTAAAAGCAGAAAGGCCAACACTGTTCGGCATCCCTTACATATGGAATCTAAAAAGAAAAGTCAGCCCTGGCTGGTGTGGCTCAGTGGATTGAGTGCCAGCCCACAAACCAAAGGTCGCCAGTTCGATTCCCAGTCAGGGCCCCAGTGGGGGGCACAGGAGAGGCAACCACACACTGATGTTTCTCTCCCTCTCTTTCTCCCTCTCTTCCCCTCTCTCTAAAAATAAATAAATAAAATCTTTAAAAAATAAAATGAAAAATCAAACTCATAGAAATAGAGTAAAAGAAAAGGTTATTAGGAGCTGGGGGCAGGCAGACGGAGGAAATAGGGGGAGGCTGGTGAAGGGCACTGACTCCCCTGTGAGGTGAGCACGGTCTGAGGGTCTGGCGCAGACTGTGGTGACTGACGTGGTGACTGACGTGGTGACTGCAGCTGATAGCACTGTGCCATGGAATGGAACTCACCTTAGAGAGTAGAGCTTCCAAGTCCCCACCCCCCCACACACACAGATAAATAAATAAATGTGTGAGGTGACGGATTGGTTAATTAGATGGAAGGATCCTATCCCAATGTATACGTATATGAAATTATCATAAGGATGCTTTAAATATCTTACAATTTTATTTATCAGTTATACCTCAATAAAGCTGAACAAAAGCTACAGGTACCATTGTCCACATACTATTTGGAGTTACCGAAGCAAATGTCAGAGAGACGAATAGCTGAAACTTTGGGAAGGGGCTTGGCCTCAGCTAGAGGGTCTGAGGGTGGGCACAGTCACCTCTCATTATAAACTCGCCAGCAGAATTTAATGTAGTTGTTTTACCCTGTTTTTACTAGGGATGTCCTGAATCCTTTTTCAGAATGGCTGCCTCACACTCGCCGTCCTCGGGGCCAGCTGCACACCCACCTCGCAGCCGTGCTCCGCCGGGGCTCTGGGGGGGCGGGGGAGGGGCCGGTTCAGCACCCAGCTTAGAGCGGGCAAGAACACAGAGGCTGCGACTCTCCATCGTCGTGCTCCTTCTCCCGGCCGGGCGCAGCTGGGGCCCTCCCGCCCTCACAACAAGCCGGGTGTCTCCGTGGAGCTTTAGCTGGTAGAGGACTCTTGCGGGTATTTTGCTTTTACTCTGAGAACTGGCAGAGAGGTATCACCAGCCCTTTCTCACAGACACGGGAGCTGATGTTCACCCACAGCGGCTCCAACTCCAAGCTCGGCCTCCTTCCACTCCCCTCTTCCTCCTTGGGTGGGGCCAGTCTTGTGGAGTCGGAGCCTCCAGAAGGCCTGTGGCAGGGACATTCCAGGGGTCACTGGGCTATGAGGGAGGAGGTCGTCCTGGAGCAGCAGCATCTCCTCAGCGCCCAGGCCGCACGCCAACCCGCCCTGAGGCGCTGTGCGGCCCTGGTCTAATCTCAGCCTCCTGCCCTGACGTGCTGGCCCTTCCTCAGAAGGCTCCCTCCTGAGATGAGTCATCCCAGTGCTCAGGGCTGGGCCAGGAGCAGATGAGCCCACGCAGGGGACATCTTGGAGGAGCCGGAGAGGAAGAAGAAGGTGACTCGGTGGCTCAGGCAATCTGGGCCCTGTCTGACAGACTCTTCCTAAGGTGCAGGGCTGACCCACCCTGCCCAAACTGTGGCACCAGCCAGATTGCCTTTTTACCTGAGCTGTAGTGACAGGGCCCAAAGACCAGGCAGTTTCCAGAATCTTAGAGTCCAAGAAGATCATTTAAGGCTGGGAAGGACCTTTGGAAATACCCAGTCCAAACACCTCAGTGTACAGACAAACACACTGAGGCCCAGAGAGGTGACCCAGGCCTGGAACCCAGCACACCGGTGCCCAGTGCCCGCTGCCCGAGCTGCAGGAGGGGTAGAGGCCACTTCGTCTTCGTCTTCGTCTTCCTCGAGGCGGACTTAGGCTGCACGCAGCCCACACAGCCAGGACTCCCTGCTCCGTTGAGTAGATGGAAAACGGAATTCACAGGTATCTGTCTCTCTTCTCTCCTGAAGGAGACCCCCAGTCCTTCCTCCTCCGGCACCCTGTTCCACTGTTTTCACGTCTCTCACTTCTGAGAAATCGCTGCGTTATCTGATCGAGCTCTCCCGCTCTGCAATTTAAGGGAAGCAAAGCCCAGCTCACCCTCTGCTAATTTTCTTCCCTTGTTTTTCTTCCTACTCATCGTGGTGCAGAACCGGCTACATAATTTGTGGGGCCCAGTACAAAATGAAAATGCTAAGCCAATTGTTCAAACATTATTAAGAATTTAGAGTTGGCAACAGCAGAACATTAAATTAAGTGTGGCGCCCTGTGTCTACACAGGTTAAAAAAAACCCACAAAGTTGGCCCCTCCTCTGGTGATACTTCAACTCAGCACTCGTGGCTGGTCCTGAAAAGTCAAGTTGTCCATTTCCCTGCCTTCATGCTGGTCCAGGTCACCTGTCTTCCGTAGGTGAGAATCTCCTTGACGTATCACCCACACACCCTCCCAGGAGCTCTGGGCCTCTGCTTCGAGCACTTCTGGGAAATCCTTCTAAATATCTAAATTTAAATCTCAGTCCTTTCCTCTTGTTCTGTCCTCACTGATTATGGGGAACAGCTGGTCCTCCTGTGTAATTAATTCTTGTAGACTTGGACACAGCCTGCAATTCCTTTTCCCTTTCCTCACTGGGCCCAGTCTCCACCGCTTTCTTCAACTCTGTCCCTTCTCTGATGCCTGCCCCAGCTTCCCTGCGTGCTTCAGAGGCCACGGGTTTCACAAGAAGCTCCAAAGAGCAGGAGTCAGGGCCCAGAGGGCTCAGCGCCTGGGGGCCGGGAAGGGGGGGGCCGGGAAGGAGGGGAGACTCCAGCAGTGATGAACAGCACATCCCCCATCGGGTCCAGTCTTCCTCCTCCAAAAGTACTCTACTTTTATCTATTTCATGAACAGTTCCCAGATAAAGTCCCCCACCCCCACTGACTCACTTTGGCGACTCTCAGCTCTTGGCCATCTCCACGTTTCTGTTCTCAGTGTGCGTCTCAGATGGAATGCTTCCCTTGGGAAATCCCACTTCCATGTCCCGGGATGGAGACCCATGGGCTGCAGCTGGGAGAGGTTTATCAGAAGCCACCCGGGGCAGAGTGGGTAGGGTAGACAGACAAGCGGCCACACTCCCAAGTCTCCCGCTAACAGAGTGCCGAGTGGCCGCTATAATCTGAAAGAGCAGACACTATAATCCCATACTACTTCCTATTGGCTACAGGACACAGTTCTGAAACTTGGGTGTGCCTTGGTTGTGGAATTCACAGGCTCACAAATGGAGCAGCTGCGGGGTGGGGAGGGTTTCGGCAAAGGAAGTGAGGTCAGTGAACAACTGATGCCTGTCTGAGCCTTTAGCCTGTATTCCTGGCACAGAGCGGGGTCCCCAGCCCGTCTTACAGGACCTCCCATTAGAGCAAGACACCTAGGGGTCTGCATTTGCTTCTAACATCCATGTCTTTCTAGTTGGCTGAGGCCACCACCCCCTCAGCCTTTTCCTTTACTAATTTAATTAAACCCTTCCACGGAAGGCCTACCCTGGGTCAGGCTCAGCCAACCCTCTGAGGCTGGCACTGTTTATTGTGTCCATTTAGCAGATCAGATGGGAGCCTGAGACATGGAGAAGTGTCAGTTGTCCAAGCTTCCCAACGACTCTGGCGTCCAGGGCTCCAGCCTTGGTGGGGAACCAGGGGGCTAGGAATAAAAGGGGGGTCCTGCCTTTGGGGTGCTTACAGCGGTTGGGGACAAAGCAAATCAAGGGTATCAGTGCTCTGAGCCTGTGTGAGGGCATCAGGAGGAAGAATTCGTTTCTCCCAGGGGACAGGCTATTCTGCTCCCCTCCCCAAACCTTGTCCACCTTGTCCCAGCAGTGTCCAGAGGCAGGCCCTGGTTCCCATTTTGGAAGCTCCATTTAGTGGGGTGAGGGCCCTGCCTCAAAGGGGGCAGTCTAAAAAGATTCCGGCCTCTCCCCCTCCACCCCGGCGCCCGGTGAGGAGAGGCGGCTTCGAGTAGGCCGCCGGCTGGAGGGGCTCAGACTGTCTTCACCACTGACCCAGAGCCGCCCCATCTGGGCCTGTTTACCCTGAGCGGGGAAGAGAGACAGGAGGGGACCAGCGGGAGCGAAGGGGCCGGAGGGCGGAGGTTGAAGGATTTGGACCGAGTGGGAGTCCCCAGGGCAGGAGGAGGGGGTGGGGCCCAATGCTCGGCCCCTGCCAGCCCCAAACTTGGCCCTTGCTGCCGTCAGCCTTCTGGGACGAGGACCGGGGTTGAAGGTGGGGAAGGCCCGGTAACTTCTGTCCCCTGACCCCTCCCCGCACGTCCTTCCCGTCCTTCCCGCGGAGACCCCTTCCCCTGCTGCGATGTCAGGTCAGCCCTCAGCGGCTCCGCGCGGCAGGGGGCGCCCCACCCCACCCCACCCTTACCCCTGCCCCTCCGCGGGCATCAGACGGTGCCTGCCTCCCGTCGAGCTCGGGCCCCTGAGGCTCTGGACCAGACCCCAAGCGACCCCTGCCGCCCGGGCCCAAGGCCCGCCCCCTCGGGGCGGCGGATGTGGGAGGCTCGGGGCGGGGGCACGGGCCGCGGTCCCGGAGCTGGGGGCGGCTGAGCGGCCGGCTGTCCCCGGGGCCTGGGAGCCGCGCGGGGGAGGGTCCGGGTCCTGGCAGCCCCGGCGAGGGGCGAGCGGGCGGCCCGTCGGTGAGCTGGGCAATAGGAAACGGTTTATTAGGAGGGAGTGGTGGAGCCGGGGCCAAGCAGGAAGACGCTGGAATAAGAAGCATTTTTGCTCCAGCCCCTTTCCCAGTCCCGGGAGGCCGCCGCGCCGGCCGCGCCGAGCGAGCCCGTCCCCGGCCCCAGCCCCTCGCCGGCCCCAGCCCGGTGCTGGCCGCGCGCGCGGACCCGGGCCGGCCATCCAGCGTTCGAGGTGCGACCCCGGCCGTCGCCGCACGTCTGTGCCCCGCCGCCCCGCCGCCGGGCAGGCTCAGAGGTGAGAAGAGGCCCGCGGGCGGGGCCGGGTGGGGGGCGGCCTGACTCCACCCCGAGCGGGCCCTGCCTTAGGGCAGATCCCCGAGAGCCCCCGAGAGAGGTCGCGGCAGGGTCGGCCGCAGCTCACCGGGGCCACCGGCGATCCCTCGCCCTCCCGCACATCTGCCCATTACCCCAGCTGAGACTGGGGGGGCGCTGGACTGTACCGCACTCGGCATCAAAACACGGCTCCTGGGCCACTGCACTTCTCTGTTCTCCTCTTCTACCCCTGTGAAGCGGCCGGCGTTCGCCCCTGCCGCGCTCTCGGAGAAGGGACCACATAACCTGGGAGTGAGAGTCCACCTCAAACGTTTTGAGCCTCCCCTGGAAGTCCAGTTTTCCCAGACCAGCCCTTGGAGCCCTTGCTTAAGGAATCTGACGCTGTAACCCCAGCTTGCCAGCCCCACCCCTAACCTGCACCGTCATCCGGTCATCCCGCCGTGGCCTGCCCTCAGGGCTCAGGCCAGAGGGTCCCCAGTCTCTCTGCAGGAGGGAACCCCAGGTTTCCAGTCCACCCTGGAGGCCAGCGCTGTTGAGCCCGCCCCCTCTTTTTTCCTCCAAGGCCAGAGCCACAGTGGACAGCAGCTTTCACCCCCTCTATTTATGGGCAGCTTCCGGCTGAGTCAGGTCTGTCCTCTCTAATCCCTCACTGCCCCCTTTGTCCTAATACCTGTCCTTCCATCTCATTGGGTGGTTAAAGGTGGCTACCTTTTACTGAGTACTCACTATATAGACATATATTTTTCTCATGTAATCCTTGCCACAACTTAGCAGAAGAGGGGTTTTTATATTCATCCTATAGAAGAAGTAGATTCAGACTTGAATCGCTTGTCCAAAGCTCTGTGGATGGCGTAGATGATGGTTGGGTTTTTGCTAACATTTTTTAAGTGTCTGCTAGGTACCACTTAGTACTATGCTAAACACTACATTATACCTACGAAATGAGCACTATTACTATTATTTACCATAGGGAAGCCTAAACCTCAGAAAGTTTCAGTAACCTTTTCCAAATCTCATAGCTCTAAGTGGCAGGGGCAGGATTTGAACCCAAGTCTACAAGAGCCAGAGCCCACATCCTGACCTCTGTGCTGCCTCTGGTTCTGTTGAGACCCTAAACACAGGTGCGCTACGTCACACTGCTGTCAAAGGCTGATGGAGTGATGCAGATGAAGTGCTTTGTGTCTGGCAAGGGGCAGCCCGGTAGAAGCTGCGCAGCCTGGCTCTCTGCTGTGCGGGTCAGACCTGCCGGTGGGCATGGCGAGGCGCTTCTGGCCCCCTGACCCGCACTACTGTGCTGAGCTATCGCTGCTGATGCTTGCAGGTTTGACAAATACCGCAGGTGTGATGGGAGGAAAGACTGGCGGCCACCTTCCGAGCATAGCCCTGCTCTGCTTCTCCCACCTGTGACTAAGCCTACAGCGCACAGACAATTTCTGTCTCCCCCCTAAATCAACCCCAGTCGGGCACCTCTTGATGACGACCGCAGTGGGCAGCCTGTTAATGTCGGCGAGACCCACTCACACTTTTTCCTCCTCTGTGGGGCTTGTGCAACACCAAACACTTGGAAGAATAAAGCGACCAAGGGAGGAATTATGATCAGTAATTTCAGTGGATCAAGATCCCTGTGGTGATTGTGGGCAAGAAACTTAACACCCCTGAGCCTCAGTTTCCCCACTGGGTTGTTGTGAGGATTACATGAAATGGACCATTCAAGCTCAAGGTGCTTAGCACATGCTGTGCTCAGAGAAGGTCAGCTCTTATGACTAAGGATGTCACAGCGATAAGTCAGTGCTGGATACCAGTTTAGCGTTTGTGACTCCTGGCCAGCAACAACGATGCTTCTGTTAACTGGAGATACTTTGAGAAGTTTTGCTAGAAAACGAAAGGTACCATCAGTCACCGGGAGTCTACTGGTGCTCGAGGCAGGTTGCAGGTTGACTGGCACAGGCCGGCTCAGAGTCTGGGCTGCTCAGGGCTCAGCGCCCTCCTGTGCTCCCCTCACCGCGGCGGGCCCAGTTAGGATCGGATGGCCACAGTTCTCCATCACCACATTCCCAGGACTAACCCAGACGCGAGCACCACAGACGCTGTCAGGCTCCCCCTTGTGATGTTTCTGGCCCTGGGGGGCTGCAGGGGGATGTCAAGAGCAAAGCCCTCGGCCCACACTCCCCCACAGTGTCTCGGAGCCACTGACTTTTGTGTTCAGCCTTGTGTGTCCCCTCGCTTCCAGTAAAGGGGGAGGTCCCTGGATGGGAGTGTGAGTCCCGCACTCTGCACCCCACTCCCACTCACCTGGCAGGCCCTGTGAAATGAAAGCATGGGGACCAGCCTTAACTCTGTGTGGGACATCAAGGAGCCCACTGATTAGAATTACCTGTGGGATTTTAAAAAAATGCATGTTTCTTGCTGGTCCCAGGTTCTGACCAAATTGAAACCTGGAGTGGGGGTGAGACCAAAGAGTGTGCATTTCCAGCCAAGCCCTTTGGGTGGTTCTGATGCACCAAGTAGTTGAGCGGGCGCACTGGGGCATGGTCACAGGAGTGGTACGTGGGTAGGGGGTGCTGGGGATGCCAGATTCATCCTCATTGTTTCCCACTCTTTCCTTCCCGCCCCATACCCTTTCCTTAGCTGCTTTCTGGGTAAGCAAAGGCTGCTGCCAAGGAGGGCTTTCTGCTTACACCCCGGTGGACAAATTCTGCTTGCCCGGGACTCCCCCTCCAGTCTCCAGTCCCACGGCAGGGTGCGTGCTGGAGTCCTCACTGCCTGCCAGGAGGGACAAGAGGCAGGAGGTCAGGCAAAGGCTGGGGACACAGCTGCAGCAGCCCAGGGCTCCATTTCCTCCCCCAGCTCTGGGCCTCTGGGGCAGAGGAAGCCCAGGCAGGAAGGCCAGGGCTGCCACCAGCCAGGGAGGTATAGGAAGCTCCCCTCACCCTCCCAGCCATCCTGCCCCAAGAGCCTGTGCATCTTGGGTCTTCATTTGGCACCATTCTTAGTCTATGGGCCTTCTGCAGCCTACCTGGCCATGCATACGGCCAGCCCTACCAGCCTCACCGTGTGATGCCAGAAGACACTCCCTCCTCTCATGTTAGTTGACCCTATTTGGGCATCCAGTCCCCAGGCAAATGCTAGCATATTCACCACCTTTCAGAAAGTCCTTCTTACGGTCTGACCTCAGTCCTTGCTACAGCCCCAGCTCTTACCTTCTTGTTCTAAACCTTTTAGAAATGGAGTAGAGGTGGCTTCTGAAGCACTAGTTGGTTTGGAACTAGGGTTGGGGACTATCATAAATCAGAATTACTCCCCTCAACACTCTCCATCCAACTTCTGGAAAAGTTCAACCTTAGCCGGCCATGGCAGGTCAAACATTCTGTGTCTAAGTGTGTTTCACTTCCCTTCTCACGTCATTGGCCCTGCCCCCACCCTTTCCCAGGACAGCAAGGAAAGCAAAGGAGGCCAGGGAATTGTGCAGAGAGGGCTCCTTATTCTTTGGTGAGGTGGCAGAGAGGTTCCTGCCACCTAGCAGGAGCCAGCCCTGCGAAAGCCTTGTGTAGCCACCACAGCCATGAGGCTCAGGTGCGGCTGCCACCGTGGGTGGGGGGACAGTGGGAGGAGCACTGGACTGGGAGTCTGGACACTTGGGTCTCGCTTGAGGTACTGCCTCGGCATCCTGTCTGCATCTAGACGAGTCTCCTCCACTGTCTGAGCCTCAGTCCTGTCTCCTCTAAAATATGGAGCTGGGCTTTGCGATTCACAAGGTGCCCCCCTGAGATTCTGTCACGGGCGTATTCCAACCCCAGTGGCCCCTCCATACCCCGTGCCGGCCCAGCCTGCCCTGAGAATGTGCCTAGAACTCCATGCTGTGCGTGACTCCTGCCTATTCTATCCAGACCCCAATCTAAACAATCTTGATTCCTGTTCCCAGCTTGGCGGGACCCTGAATGGCAGGAAGTGAAGACAGGAGCCTGTTTATGTTTGAGGCAGCCAGGGCTGGGGGGGCACTGGGAACAGGGTGGGCGGGGGGAGGTTAGAAGAGGCTGGGCAGGAGGCAGAGGACAGAAGGGGGTGTTGCTGATGAGATGGCCCTTCTACCCCAGCCCCGGGCCCTCCGGGCCCTCCAGTTGCAGCTCAGAAGCAGGGCTGCAGGGCTGGGAGTCCCCCAAGTTTTCAGTCACTTAAACATGGCTCCCCACCCTTTACCCCTAACAGGATGGTTTCCATGGGGAAGTGAACCAGGACTTCCCCTGCAGGCACCGCCCCAAAGCCAGATGCACGGAGTAGGGAGGAGGCCTCCCTGTCCCCCCCCAAAAACACTCCCAGTGATTTCCTCTGGGTGGGAGGGACCCACGGTCAGTGGCTGAAAACACTGAGGGGATCACATTTCACAGATCTTACTGCACCCCCTCTTCTGCTCCTCTATCCAGGACCATGACCTTGGGCCCTCCCAGGAGAAGCCTTCTGATGCTACTGTTGGCCTCGGGCCTGGCCCGGGGTGAGTACTGTAGGAAACGGGCCTGAGCGGAGAAAGGGCTGTCTGGCTGAGCTCTGGCTGGGGCTGGGTTTGAGGACTTGGGGAAAAGGGGCTGTGGGGCTTGGCTGGAGGGCAGGAGACAGGCTCAATCAGACTAGCTACCCCAACCCTCCTTTGCTGTTCTCTTGATCCCAACCTTCAGGCCGGTGTTCTGCCAGACTCCAGGGTGGGAACCTCTGTGGGGGGTGAGGAGGAAGGGGTGCAGAGAGTGGGCTGTTGGCAGGGAGGGCCTGGAAGAGCCATCAGGATTGGGGCTGGGGGCCAGGGCTGGGCCTGGCACTGGGTGGGGAGGTCCTAGGATCAGGGAAGGGACAGAGGTCTGGTTCTCAGAGTCTCAGCTGCCCCTTGGTGGCGGCAAGGCTCTGGAGGGAGGGATGATGTGAGGGTGGAACGAAGGCACCAAGGCCTCAAGGGGGTTGTCTGAAAGGCCAGCAGGGAGAGGGCAGTGGCTGCTGAGCTCAGCCTGGGGAACTGGGCCCAGAGTAGCTGAGCTTCCACTGTGTCTCCCAGGAGACCCCGTGAAGCCTCCTAGGGGCCCACTGGTGACCTGCACATGTGAGAACCCACACTGCAAGGGGTCCACCTGCCAGGGGGCCTGGTGCACCGTCGTGCTGGTGCGAGAGGAGGGCAGGCACCCCCAGGAGCACCGAGGCTGTGGGAACCTGCACGAAGAACTCTGCTGGGGGCGCCCCACTGAGTTTGTCAGCCACTACTGCTGCTACAGCTCGCTCTGCAACCACAACGTGTCCCTGGAGCTGAGTGCGTCTGGCCGCCATGGCAGCCCCTCCCCATCCTCTCAGACTCTGCCCCCTCACCCTGCTTTCCTCATGCTCCGGCCAGGAGGGTGGGGGAGGTGGGACCCTGGGATCTAATGGCAGAGTGACGAGGTGTGGGGGCATCTGGCCTGATGGAAGCTGGGTCTCAATGTCCCCCTCACAGCAGCCACCCCAACCCCGGAGCAGCCGCAAGAAGTTGGCCAGCTGCCTCTGATCCTGGGCCCAGTGCTAGCCTTGCTGGTCCTGGTGGTCCTGGGTGCCCT